CCCAAAAAAAAGTTGGCACCCTCACCTGGTTAATTAATTGGATTAAAGTTTTCCCGCCAAAAAACTTAGTATATGGAGCACTCTAACCTTGAACTTGTGCCCCCCTCCCCACACTTCTTTTACAACTCACACAGTATGTTAGTTACATTGTTCCAACACTTTGGACTTCTTTGGACATGTAACTTCTCCGAACACGTAGTGACACCACACTCTGCTACCCAGACACTTGGTTGATCGAGTGCAGTGTTTTCGCCACAACGACTTTAGAATAATTCCTTGCTCTCCTGGTCTGTCAATGCCACTGGTATACTGATGTTTCGAAGCATCAATGTCTCCGAAAAGACATCCCCCGGGGAGTACACTTGGTGCATTGACCAACTAGGAGAGCGAGAGATTATCCTAAAGTTGTTGTGGCAGAAACACTGCACTCGATCAACCAAGTGTCTGGGTAGCAGAGTGTGGTGACTACGTGTTCGGAGAAGTTACATGTCTAAAGAAGTCCAAAGTGTTGGAACAGTGTAACTAACATACTGTGTGAGTTGTGGAAGAAGTGTGGGGAGGGGGGCACAAGTTCAAGGTTAGAGTGCTCCATATACTAAGTTTTTTGGCGGGAAAACTTTAATCCAATTAATTAACCAGGTGAGGGTGCCAATTAGTTTTTTTTTGGCGGGAAAATAGACTTACAAAGGAACCAGCAAAACAAAACTACACCCATCATTCAAAAGTTCTTTCAGACTAGATTTAAAACCTGTTTTAATTTAAAACCTGCCCAAATTATTAACACTGAAAACTATCTAACCAAACTTCTGTAACATAAACGCACTGCCAGGCTATATTTCAAGTAGAATGCTTTTACATAATGTGTCAACTCAACCTCTCACTGTAACAGCCTACATGTATCTACTGTATCATCTGTGAAATGACTAAATAACAGGAGCGCATTTTTAACAAATGACCATTCCGGGGCTGTCCTTGTCACATGAATCTGATTTTTTGTCATGTCCAGATTGTGATCCCATTTATTAATTCTCTGTTTCAAATGAATTCATCAATCAAAAGTTTTATAAATCTAAGTTGACAGTTTTACTTCTGTCTTTTAAGCAAATGACCATTTAACGCCCTGCAAAATATTGGTCCTTGCACATCTGGGCCAAAATCCGCCACCGCAAGTTCAAAGAGGTCACCTGAATTCCTGCTGAGTTTCTGTGCTGTACACGGTTTTAAAGTTAAGCCCGGGTGCCATCCTCCGTAGTTTTCGCCCGCTCCCTAATGTCGCTGGCTACCAGGGAGTCTGGACTTGCTGACATACATGTAATTGTAACATCTGGAATCTGCATATTCATTCAGATTTTGAACGAGTGCGCTGATTGGTCCTACTCGTCTTAGCCCTTTTAGAGGGTCTGCATGGGGGGGTGGGTCCTGGCAGGAGTTAACGGTAAATTCAGGACGGTCGGCAACACTTAACGGTAAATTGACTGGCATTTTTATTCGAGCTGCACACTAAGATTCAGTGATAGTATCTGGATTTATAAGAAAGTAATCACCGACAATTAAGTATACCTTACATGTAATGAAGCACGCATTAAAGGAACTTCATACTACTGCACCCCGTGTTTCCCGCCTGCCCTGCGTCCACAAATTTTTTTCCGTCTGCCCAGATTCATCATCGGATTTTGGGAGGTGCACGCAATCTAGGGGGGTTTGGGGGCTTGCCCCTGTGAAATTTTGGATTTTTAACCCTTCAAAAACACAATTTCCCGCTTAACACTGAATTTAGGATGACAAATAACGTGCTACGTAGAATTAAAACGACCAATAACGCTTCACGATTAATATACCGATATCGCTTAACGTTGAATTAGAGCAACAATTAACGGTGAATTAAAATAGCCCGTAACGGTTAACGGAAAAGGGGGGCACTCTTGTAGGAAAGGTGTGTAACGTTACACACATGTATTAGGTATGCCGTTTGGACGTTCAAACGGCGACGTTAAGATCTTATTCTAACTCTAATTTTTTCTATCACGCTACTTGGGCTAGCTCATTACGTGACGTCATCACCAGCCGTTACATATGTCAGCAAGTCCAGACTCCGTGGTAGCCAGCGACATTAGGGAGCGGGCAAAAACCTACGGAAGATGGCACCCAGGCTACTTTTAAAGTACCTTTTTGGGCAAAATATACGTCACGATATTTTGGCAGAAACGGTACTTTAAAAGCATGTACAGCACAGAAGATCATGACTATTTGTACTTGTTTGTGGTGGTCAGGATTTATAGCCCAGTTGCGCAAGGGTCAATATTTTGCAGAGCGTTAAGTGCTCATTCGCTTAAAAGACGGATCCGAAGTAAAACTGTCAACTTCAATTTATAAAACTTTGGATTAATAAATGGGAGCACAATCTGGACATGACGAAAGAAAAAATTACAGATTTGTGCAACAAGGAAGGCCCCAGATTGGTCGTTTGTGGTCATTTACTAAAAAGACACTGTCACCTCTTTTAACTTAGAAAGTCAATTGAGAGTATATGATCCTTGTATATAATTATCTTTTGCAGAGACCATCGGGACCTTGAAAGAAATCCTGCCCCACTGTCAAGGACTACCTGCTGGACACTGGACTTTTATCAACATCTAACTGTAACTCTATCTACAGTTTAGTTATACCAAGATTGATTTTTAACCAGTCCTACTACCTACACTATCTGTGACTTGACTGCTTTTATTAAAAAGTAGAAAGCAGCTTTAGAGTAATTATAATCCTAATCCTTGCAAAAAGACTAGTAGATATTTTTGTTTTGCTGATTCCTCCCTTCGAAACATCACACACAGCTCACCTGTAGTACATTTC